TGTGTGTGTGTGTGCGTGTAAGTAAATCAAATACTATAAAGGCCAATAAAACAGAAAGACTCCACTCATACAGCAGCGGGTGTAACGAAACCCTTCCCCTGTGAGTAGAACCATTATGTGGAATCTATACATGGAAAACCATTAGTTAATCTCCGTATCCATCTCAGTCGCACACTCTCACACACAGAGGGCCAAGTAACCACGCTATGCGCCATGATGGGGACAGCTTATGGTGGCTCTTTAGTATCCACTGGAGGACAAAGGGGTCATCATGACTACGAAAATACCAATAAAACTGCCTTTAGAGAATGAGCTAACTTAATGGTATAATGGTGCTTCGCAATCTTCTGTCCTTTTCAGAGCCTAAAGCTTGGCACACTGATAGTAGACAGGTTTGGTGTTTTCCTCCACAATGATTAGCAAAGGCAGAGACCAACATTAGCATAAAAACAATAATGAAAACAACTGCCATGTTCACAGATTTGTCACTAAAAGTGTCTGAGATTAAACACACTTTTTATACTTTGAACCATAGTCCACAGCAATGCTCTCTCTGCACTGACACTTGCTTTTGAGTGGAAAAAAAACCAACTTAACTTCCAGTTTTGATGTACATAAACTTCACACAAGACCCTCTTTCTCTTGTTGAATCCTGAATTTGAGGCAGGTTGAGAAAAAGTGTGTTCGCCATAAAGGTAGATTACATAAAAAGAAGGAGCGATGGGCATCGTCTTTTTATCATAATGGTAGACTGAATAGTAATCTAACTACATATAAATGGAAATCAGGTTTTCATGGTATGCTTTTAAAACAAAATGGACCTGTAGAACACATTTCTATGTCTAGACAGACAGAAAGACAGACAGACAGGATCATAGTACCTCAGCAGCTCCGGCTACGTTGAGCTGTAGCATCCCTTTCCTGTCCTTCTCCTCCATAGCTGAGTACTGGATAGACTGAACTTGGTTAAAGTTAGCTAGATGGGTAGGCTGAGGACAAAAAGAGAGAAACACAGACAAAACAGAAATTAAATGATGTAAACTAGGCCATGAACTATTAATAATCAATGAGCGAGTGATATCTAATGGCTATCTTTATCTCAGGAGGCCTTTGCCTGGAAAACATTTCTGGATACAGAACATGAGAAGCAGAGGTCATTGTAGTACAATATGGTCTCCACAAGAACTCACTGTGGATCCCTTGTCAGTGAGGTAGCTGATCCCTTCCTCTGGTCCGATGGCTAACTCCACCTGGATCACCCAGCTGGACTGTTGGAGGGAACAGGAGGGATACAAGTTAAAAAAAGAAGAGGGTGAGACAGGATGCAAGACCTGATGCCACCAAAAGGGGTCAACCTAACACAGCTAACAGGAGCTCTCAGAGTGCATGTGGACACAGCAGAGTGGAGTTAAGAATGGAAGAAACCTACCCCGAGAGCACATTTGAAGCACTCCTTGTCGTAGCGGTAGATTGCCGCAAGTATCTCCAAGAACTTCAGGATGCACTGCTCATCGTTGAGATTGGCTACCTGCTTAAATGTCTGCTGAATCAACTTACGAAGAGTTTTAGCCTGTAGAGAGGACAGAGTTGGGAGGGAACGGGAAGGGAAAATTAGATTTAAAAATCAAACTTTATCTAAAATATTATCTTGCTGTTAGAGCAGAAAATCTGTAGGGTGGTGATGGGATGAATGTGTGCGTGCATATGTGTGGGCGCACAGTGACAGAGACATTGATTGACTAATAGGCCTCTCTGGTTCCAATCAAATTGACCTCAGCACTTCATTCCAGTTCCGATCAATATCTTAACAAAGACCCACTGATACTGTTAGTTACCACTCAATTAAACATCAGAGTCTGCCCACTTATCTGTAGTGTATAACAACATTTTTAGTGTTGGTTGTGTTTTCCTGCTCACTGGCATTTGGTTTTTTTTTTTAGTTTTTTTTAAAAAAAAGGTCTGTTATGTCACCGGAGAGTAGACAGATGGGTGCTGACAGAAAGAAAATCCATCTAGGAACACTGTTCTGTCATTTACAATCCTCTATACTTCATCTCGACATAAAGATTTGCAACACGCACAGATATACAATCTCATATATAATCTGCTTTATCTGATGTATATCTAAAAACATTAGGACTTACATGAAGAGGGATTCACCGCTGACAAAATAACCGTTTTAACCTCTTTTCCAGATATGATCTTGATGATCTTGAGCTTTCATACATATCCATGCATAAATAAAGGACATTTAAATGTATATTTATGGCAGTATTATTTAAACACACATAAACACTAAATACATTCGGTGACAATACACATTCACACATACAGTACAGGCAATCCCAAACTATAAATAGTTCTCCATATATAGATTAAGATAAAGATTAGAGGAGATTTAGTTCACTACAGACCGGGCTTAAAAAAGCATGTGTGGATTTACAGTAGACTGGTTTATCACATTAAGGTCATTCTACACAAAATAAATGAACAGTTTTGCAATTGAAGTGAGGACCAAATGCTAATCAATTGCATTGATTTATTGACTTTAATTTAACCTAGAAGAAAGCAATTAACACATCTCTGGTCTAATGAGGCACAAAAACCATATTATGTACAGTGTGTATAAACCCTCTGTGTGTACTAAACATTTAACATTTTCGAGAGCAGAATCATTCATATAATGACTATTAAGTTTTCTGTTATACATTTTACTAAGCCACTTACTATTTCTATTCCTACTTTTATCATTCATTTGTAAATAAAAGCGTGAGTCTCTATACTTAAGAGGCCTGTTGCCAGCTGTCTATTCATTAAGCCTGAAGGAATCAAGAAACCAACAAATACACACACACAAACACACACTCATAGTCTACAATGCTCCTGTGTGTTCAGCTATGTGTGTGTATGTGTGTCATTTCAACAGATGTCATAACGCACATCTGATTACAGAATATAATGTGTATGTGCGTATGAGTGTTCTTCTTGCTTTTGATAGGATCAGTGTGTTAATTCCTAGAATTCCACCCCACACACACACACACACACACACACTCAGGGATATTGTCAGTCCAAAGTGTCCACCCTTCCTGAGAGGAAGTACTGCGAGTTGCTATCACCCTTCCCATCATCATGCTGACCAGTCACAGACAGCACTTAGACTGTATATCTTTTTATTTTTGTAAAACTCTTCACTCTGTTTACAAGCTGAAGGACACAATAATGGCTGTGTGTATCACGTCTCTATGCTTCATTAGCTGTAGTGGAGGTAATTTGGAGTTTTGGTGTTATTTTTGTCTCACGAAGTTGCTTGTATGTATTTCATGCAGAATGGTCCGATACCATGTTGTGTCATTAGTGGCCTATCCTGGTGAATCTGTTCTTTCCATTTAAAATGATCACATCTACTTCATCACAGAAAAGAGAACATTCTTCAGACAGAGCAAGTAGAGGAGTGATGTTTAAAGCCTTTATTTTATTTCTTTTAGTTGTGCATATCTGTTAAAATGCCAGCCAAAAATAGCTTTTTTACTGACTTAAATGTATTAAATTCTTTCTGTGTTGTGTACTGATAGTAATACTGATTTACATATTGTATATTCTTATTGCAGCTCCACTATAACCAAGAGACCAGTATTGCACAAAAAATAAATTATACATTAGAAAATGTGCTTAACCAATGCATAAATTAACAATTAATCTGCATAGACTGTATAAACAAACCTTCCTGGCTTGGTTTCAGCTTTTAAAGCTTTTAAACAAATATTCATGATGTAAATAATAAAAACAAAATCACAGGAGACGATACTAATAATCCTTTATGGTCTTCATTCCAAAGTCAAAAATGTTATCACGTCCACACAATATTCAAGGGTTTTGTTTAGAAATTTCATTGATAATTGTGCTTTGTTGAGAATATATCTTCCAATTTTAATTTCCTGTAAAATGTAGCAATGAATCTCACTGCAACATCAGCAATTTTTTTGTCGTAATGCTCGGTTTCATAAAGTTGAGAGTAACTGAATAAGTTATCAATCGGATGACGGCAAACAGACTCCTCACGTCAAGCTGGGCTGTTTGTTCAAACTTTGATCTCCAAAGACACCAAAGGTCAGTTTTACTAAACCTGCTGCCCAGCTTGTCAATATGAAAGAACAGATTCTGCTCTTTATAACGCTTTCACCACAGCTAACATCAGTCACTGTTTACTACCACAGCCATCTGCTCCGGGGTTGTGTGTGTGTGTGCGTGTGTGTGTTTGTGTGTTTGCGTGTGTGTGTGTTTGCGTGTGTGTGTTTGCGTGTGTGTGTGTGTTAGTGGAGTCCATTGAGGGAGAATAATCCCATTAAATGACTACCATTCTCTTTCAGCAGGGCAAAGGACAGAAACGTAGATGACAGCTGTGCTCTCTCTCTCTTTCTCTACCACATATCTATGTATCTATGTAAGAGCAGATGTGTCAGACACTTATAGTTTGCTTAACATTAACTAATAAAATATGATATAGTATGCGACACAAATACTTGAACTCAAAGACAGGCACAGCCAACTCATGAGGACTGCAGGTAATTGTTTTTTCCATTTTTCCATTATTTTCTCAAGTAATTGATGAATTGTTTGGTCTTTAAAATGTCTTAAACTACAACATCAGTCCAATTTGTGGATGTTTGACTGCACGTGTGTGTCACAGTGTGCTTATTCGTGGCTTATAAAGCAGACCAAAATGGAGTGTGTTATCAGAAAATGAGAGAAAGAGAAGAGAGGAGGTAAAGTAGGTAGGTGGGCAGCTGATGAGGGGGGAGTCAGCAGGGCTTGACAGACGGGGGTGGTGGGGGCAACCCCAGAAGGAGACGCACGTTGACGCCTCCCCCCTCCCTCCTCATTGTTGGAAAGAGAAAGTGGGTTTAAACATGACCCGAGGGTCACACACACACACACAGTTTCTGTCCCTCTGCAGAGCATCTGTCTGGCCGCCTGCTGACATCAAGACCTTTTTGGGTCACTGGGCCTTTTTCTTCATGCGCACACACACACACACACACACACATATAGACAGACACCAAGACCCTCCCCGCAAACGCGTGCCGTAAATTTATGACTGACACAGACACTGCTCATTATGAGAGCACACCCGGCCCTCACATACAAACGGACACTACCCAAATCTGCCACACTAATAAATCAATTTAACACAAAAGGTTCATGTTAGTTCATCTCCTGAATGTTATTAACACTGTAGAGGGAAGGTGCTGAAGATTTGCTCACCATCAATATGAAGTATGTTTTAGTAGAAATCTTAATTTAACCTTTAATTTTAGTAGAATAACCTTAATTAAGATGAGCTGTAATGTAATGTAATGTAATGTAATAGTGCTCCATATTCCATTTAAGCTGATAAATAATATTTAAATCCAACTAAACTTCACATTATTTGATTTTACCATTGACTTTCGTCTTATATGAGACTTGACGTTTTCATGGAAGGTGAGAAATCTGGTTATTGATAGTTCTGTATATATGATCATAACAGTATCCAGATGTCTGATCATCTTCTTGCAGGTACGTCTTTAAACTGAGTTACCTCAATAGTTGAGGAGGACCACAGTTGTGTGCTGCAGTTACCATTTCTCTGGATATAACTTCTTCATCTCATCACTGGAAATGAAAAATTAAAGCAACGATACAAAATAATGCTCTGTTCTACTGAACCCACACTTTCCCTTTATTTCAGCATGAAATCATTACATCTTTGATCTTCATATTATTTGTTTTAGTGATTAATTTCTACATTTGGTTGGCACTAAACCTGCTAACATGGCAGAGAATGGTCGGAAACCGGAATGGTTTACATGCAGCGGTATCCGGTTTCTATGGGCGTACTCCATCTAGCAGTTTCTACATTCATCACACTCATCGATAAACAGAATAAGCTTTTTTGTTGAAAGTTTTTTCCTCTTCTTTCTCTTACTCAACTCCATTCATCTAAACTCCACTGGTAAGTTGGCCAAGATTTAATTTCAGTCTATTGGAGTCTGGCACTGCTTCACACTCTGTCAGCTAGACCAGACAAAACATCAAGTAACACATTTAAAAAACTGGCTCGAAGGCGCCTTCACTTACACTATGAAGCTGCCCATAAAACCACAGGGTTTGGGTACTTTTGGTAACTGAGCAACTCCAGATGAGCAGCTGGGGCACTGTGATAGCAGCTGCTGAATGAAGGGAGACTACTACTCAGTCAACCTACCAGGGCACCAAAACTTTGATCAGAAACCCTCTTATTGAAAAACCTGACTCATTATACTTTGTGTAATCCCTCTCTCTTTTGATCTCAGTTCTAAACTTATGATTCTCACCTTGACTGAATCCAACAGGTCTTTTGGGAAAAAACGCCTCAATCCAACATCTTTCCTGTAAAGAGAGACAGAGAGAGATAAAGTAGCAGGTTTATTAGGCTCTAATTACACTGAGGAATGCTAATTGACAAGGCTTTTTAACTTTATCTGATCTCTGCAGATTTATTATTTTTTTCCTCCACAGAGAAATTACCAACAACAGCTACAGACAGATACAGTTAGGCAGACAGGCAACCGAAGAGAAGAAACAGAAAACAGAAAGCTATGACTAAGTGCTGACTACACTACTCATCTTTTCCTAAGAGACGGAGCGGAGGAAAAAATAGAGAGAGCAGAAAGTGAGTGATAGAGAGAGAGGCAGGGAGGAGTACAAAGAGGGAGACCACAGAGACAAAGAAAGATGTGCAGAGCTAAAACAGGAAGCTAGCTAATGACTCAAACTCCTCTGGAGAAAAGACAAGTACAGGGGGAGGCGGAGAGAATGAGGGAAGAGAGAGTAAGTGAAGGCTGAGAGCTTACATCATCCTATTTCTCCAACATAGGTCAATCTCAATATCAGTCTCAAATTATTATTATAGCGTGTGTTGTACAAAAGGGTTGGGATTTATCTCAACTAAGTTGTAAATCGCAATAAATAAACTTTCAGCTGCTGCCCTGTGGTTATCTAAACTGCCTCAGCTTAAAGCCTTCTCCTCTATAGTAAACACACGTGCAAATACTTTTATTTCGCTTGGGGCTGTCCATCATCATGTCTATAAAAAAGGATAACCTTACAAATCATGCTGTGTGTCAGCCCTAAAACTGTTCTCTCTTTCTCAATCAAAGCTAGTCCATGACAGGACCAACAAGAAGCACAAGCACATACAGTAAATAAAGGACTCCGGAAGATTACAAACCAAGCCGACATCAAAGAACGAGCGCTGACAAAGGCCCGCGGATTACATGCTTCGCATTAGCTCACAAACCACAAGGACTACTGCCAACTACAGCCAGCTGATCTCCAACATGCGCATATGTTGGGTGGTTGCATGAGAGGAACGAACCAGCAGTCAGTGGTTTGTCCTCTTAAATCAAACGGCAGCGTGGAAATGCAAACAAAACAAAACTAGCCTACCATTTTCACACTAATGCAAATCTTATTATATAACTGGAAAACAGAACTACGGGGAAAACAGAGACAGCATTGATATTGATACACGTCCAGTTAATCAGTTCCACTTAATTGTTGGTGTGACCTACAGAGTGAACATGCCGTTCACTGGTTTCTCCACCGACCGTTCAAAATGGAAAATGGCCATCGATGTCTGGCCAACAGTGCCAGACACTACGCAAAATGTATGGGCAGCGATCCACCACAGACACTCAACAAGAGCCCCGATGGCCAACTGTCAGCTTGGTGTTATCAAAGTCCCGACAGCACTTTCCCTCTTCCTCTCTGGTTGGTTTAAAGTATGCATGACACAACATCTTTTTCCAATCAACGGAGAGAGGCAGCGAGGCAGAGACAGGGAAAAAACAAACAAGGGAAGAACACAGGAGAAAAAGCAGACAAAAATAGAGGATGAGAGCACAGGCAGGAGAGACAGACGGACAGAGAAGGATTGAGAGGACGGAGAAGAGAGACAAAGAGATATCGGTGGAAAGACAGTGGGCATTATTCTCAGTTAATTGGAGAGCTCGTTAGGCTGACGGACAGAAAGAAAGACTTCATTGGAAGAGGGCAGCTCATTAGAATCGGACCGCGTTAAGAGCCAAGCCTCGTTAGTGCCAAGATTTGTTAATGTTCTTCATCGACATCTATGTACCAGGGAGCAAAGCAGGGAGCCAACACAGAGGAGCTAATCCCACGCCAATCTGCATTAACGCTGTAATCTGTATTAAACACAGGTGATCAGGTGATAACTCTAGCTAGACTGAATGTAAACCCATGTCAAAACACAGTTGGACCGCAACAAAATTGAACAATTTACATTTTTAAATGTTCACAGACTTTTGTGCAATTCCCAAACTCTCACTGAATATCTTTCAATTGTTTTCCACTTATACAGATTTCTGCAACAGAAATCTTGCACCAAAAACTGAGATACTTTGCTGTTTTTCTGTATTTATAACTGCAGGTAGAGGAAGGGTGTATTTGGCAAAGTTGTGAGCAGGACTGAAATTGAAAAAAAAGCTTATGAAGAAAATACTTACTCAAGTAGTTCATAGTTGGATTTCTTGTCCAGGGCGTTTCCTCTCATCTCTTTGAAGAACCTCCTGGAATTAAAACCAGTGGGACACAGAGAGAGAACAAGATTAAATCTATTCACTGCAGACACACCCAAGGGACTACTTGGTGAATGTGTACCAAAAACTTCAATGTTTTTAAATGTTAGCAGAGCAGGGATTTCTGGCAAAACTTCACCTACGCCCAAGGTGCATGGAAAGGAGAAAAGGGCTGAAGAAGTACTCCAGAAACTTAGTATGCAGAACAACTTTATTATAAGAGCACATTTTGGCTTGTGGTCTCACTCGTGACAATGACGACCCAGGTTTTAAATTTGATGCAGTGTTTGTAAACAGAAGAAAAGCACACTCAAATTAAATAGAATTACATTTAGAGGTTTTTATATGAATTTGAATAATGACAAACATTGGCAAGAATGATCAGTGTAGCTGAAGGGCAGTTAAACTGGCAAAGAAAACAGTTTAAACTGTCACTTTAAGTTTAGGCAAAAACAGATGGAGTTTGTGATTCTTTTAAAAATGACAAACTTTCAATCTCTGATGGGAACAAACATTTGCTTTTGATGTAAAAAAAGAAAATAGAAAATGTGTTGTATTGTAGTACATTGTAACTTTAACTTATTTATGGATAAAGTCCTGAAGGAAAGTCACTGTTCAGTAGCGTGAGAGCTTCCTACCTGATTTCTAGACAGCCAAGTTTGAGAGCTACATCTTGTTCCACCTGATCACCGATCTCTGTCATGTAGTCACTCTTCACCTGGGGGACGCAAATACACACCACAAAAACATGCTTATTAATACATTTATCTCTACAAACAACAAATGGCCAGACATCTACAGCGCACAAAAATACACACACAATCCCTCTGACCTAGATCACCAAAAGGCAAACCCACACAGTCTTCAGACAGTATCATATGTGTCAGTGCTGCCTAGCTGCTGGCAGAAAATAAGGTTTGTGTGTTTGTATGTCTGTTTGTGTGTGTGTGTG